ACACACACACACACACACACACACACACACACACACACACACACACACACATTCTATTTTAATTTTCTCTGGTTGCTTTAACAAATTGCCACAAACCAGATCACATTAAGGAACAGAATTCTATTCTGTCACAGTTCTGGAGGCTAGAAATTTGAAGAAGAGGTGTTATTAAGGTTGATTCATTCTTGCAGACTCAGAGGAAGAATGACTTCTATACCTCTCTCCTGGCTTCTGGAGGTTGCTAGCAATCCTTGGTGCTCCTTGGCTTTATAGACACATCACTCCGATCTCTGCCTGCATTGTCACATGGTGCTTTCCTTCGTCTGTCTCTGTGTTCCAATTTCTCTCTTCTTATAAGGCACTAGTCATTGGGTTAGGACCACTCCAATTTAGTATGGTTGCATTTAAATTTTTTTGTCAATGTTTATTTTTGAGAGACAGAGAGGGACAGGCATGAGCAGGGCAGGGGCAGAGAGAGAGGGAGACACAGAATGTGAAGCAGGTGCCAGGCTCTGAGCTGTTAGCACAGAGCCCAATGCAGGACTTGAAGTCATGAACCGTGAGATCATGACCTAAGCCAAAGTCAGATGTTTAACCGACTTAGCCACCCAGGCGCCCATAGTATGGTCTCACTTTAATTTGATTACATTCATAAAGGCCCTATGTCCAAGTAAGATCACAGGCACAAGTGCCAAAAATTAGGGCATTAAGATCTTTTAGGGGAATACAATTCAATGCACAATACACTACAATATCAATTCCAGGCAAATTTATACTATTATTTTTTAAAAAATAGAATGTGAGCATTTAGCAAAAGGAGTGGTAAACAACATTAACAAATTTGTGTTCTCAAATATCAAACTTATGAAGTGGACACATTTTCCTTTCCTGCTTGTTACTATAGAGAGATCATGGGACCACCATGATGAACATTGTTTTTAACATACATGTAGCACAAATATTCATTTTAATTGCTTTGGGCAAGAAAGAAAAAAGTGGCTATATAACAGGACAGTCTAAGTGGATTTTTAGCTGGTTGAACAATTATCAAAAGTATTAATTACTGAATTTCTTTCATCCTGAAATTAGCCTTTAGTGGTAACTTAGCAAATTCTTTATTTATCCCAGCAGTTGTATCAGTGACATAAATGTAGACGTTAAAAAAGTAGACATAAAAAAGTCAATGTATATGACAAAATCTAAGAAAAAAGCTAACACAAAAGGTTAACAAAATACAGATTCAAATTAACCTTAATAGGCTACCTCTAATTTTAGTCATAAAGCTGTGGACCTAAATGGATTTAATGAAGAAAATGAAATTATATAGGCAAAATACAAGTTTCTCTTTCTAAAATAAAAAAGTCAGTTGCTCGTACAGACTCTATATCTGTAGTTTTAAAGAGCTGGTTTGATGATACTGTCTATAAATGGCTAACCACATTGTGTTCTTAAATTGCCATTAAATGAGTTTCTGGGTGAGACCCCCCCCTAAATTAGCCCTAAGTCAGCAGGTAAGATTCCAAAGAGAGCAAAAAAACTTCCATTATGTGCACTCTGGAGAGAAACAATTTCATTACAAGGATTTCTGTTTTTACTGACTTTTCCTGGTTAATGTGCCAGAGAAGTCAGTTTGAAACACAACATTTGTAACAAGTCCATCCATAAGGAGAAATCTGACAATGAGAAACTTTACCCTGAAGCATATTGTTGCTGGCATCCTGTTCGTATCTAATGCTGCACACGAATAGAAATATTTCCAGTTGTACAAGTACTCTTTACACTGATTAGTTGGAAGGAAAGTTCATTTTCACGGTCAATGTTATAATGTATGAACACTGTAGGGGCCATGAAGTACTCTGACTCCAAAATTTTTGAGAGTAGCTAGGAGGATGATCATTGAAATCTGGGCAATTCACCTAATATTATTTGCTGGCAAAAAAAAAAAAAAAAAAAAAAATCAAGGAATACTTTAGCTGCTGGGAAAAGCCTTTCTCCACCATGCTCATATCCTTCCACCCCCAACTTCAGCCTACTCTCATTTTTTAAAAAATGTTTATTTGTTGTTGAGAGACAGAGAGAGATAGAACGTGAGCGGGGGAGGGGCAGAGAGAGAGGGAGACGCAGAATCTGAAGCAGCCCCAGGTCTGAGCTGTCAGCCTAGAGCCTGACTTGGGGCTAGAACCCACGAACTGTGAGATCATGACCTGAGTCGAAGTCCGACACTTAACTGACTGAGCCACTCAGGCACCCCAGCCTACTCTCATTTCTTATGATTTTTGTTTACTCTTTTGTTAAAATTCTTTGGGTTCCATTTCCCTTATATCTTATGCACAGACCTTACTGGACTAAAGAACGGAGGTCAGGAAATAAAAGATCATCTACCAAATACTAATAAGTAAAATTTCTGTCGTATACAATGAAAAGACAGACTCCAGGGTCACTAATGTTGGGGTTTAATCACCACAAATATACTAGAAATGGTTACTATGCCCATAAAGCTAACATAATTGGGCCTCAATCATAGGGTCCTATTGATATTTCGTCGTGTTACACAGTATCAGACCAACTATTAAAAAGTAATTAATAATTCTAAGGAAGCTAATCTCAATGTAAGGAATCTGCAATCATGAAAAAATAGAAGTAGCAAAAAGAAAGAGCGTTCAGTCTTCAGAAGAAAATATTTAAGGAAAAGTGGATAGCAATTTACAAAAACTTAAAAGGCTATCGAATTAAAGGAAGAAATATCTTTTGGAACAAAAAGTAGAAGCAAGCAAAAACAAAGAATGTCTTGTGGATATAGATTTTAATAAAAAGAACTTTATAATAGTTGGTTTCTCTAGGAATGAAATACTTGAAAATGTTATGAGTCTGTGAGAGTTAGAATTTCAGTAATGATAAGTTAGCTTGGGGGCACCTGGGTGGCTCAGTCAGTTGAATGTCTGACTTCGGCTCAGGCCATGATGTCGCAGTTCATGAGTTCAAGCCCCACATCAGGCTTGCTGCTGTCAGCACAGAGCCTCCTTAGGATCCTCTGTCCTCCTCTCTCTACCCCTCCCCCACTTGGCGCTCTCTCTCTCTCTCTCTCTCTCTCTCTCTCAAAAAAAAAAAAAAAAAGATAAGTTAGCTTGTACTGGAATAACTATCCCATGGATAATAATGAACCTGAAACAATTACTTGAAGACATTGGAGAGCTGTCAAAAGCAGTCTAAAACTGTAGAGGATTTGACCAGTAAAAGAAGAGAATTATAATAACTGAGTGAGATCCATGTTTATTCAGCCATTTCCCTGTGGACAGTCCCCAGTCCTCAGGTGCAGGGCAGCTACAACTCAAGTAGAATCTTCAGTTTTATTGACTTGTGATGTCAGTGAAGAGATTTCAGGCTGCGC